TATAGAAAACAAACTAGAGGTTACTACTGGAGAGAGGGAAGGGGGAGGGGCAATTTAGGATTAGGGGATTAAGAGGTACAAACTATTAGGTATAAAATAGGTTACAAAGATGTATTATACAACATGGGGAATATAGCCAATATTTTATAATAACTATAAATGGAGTATAACCTTTAAAATTATTAATGACTATATTGTACATCTGTAACACAGAATATTGTACAGCAACTACAGTTCAATAAAAAAAATCAAATCACAGGTCAAATATTACATCAGTGATAATCTGCAATCACATGGGGAACTTCCATGACCTCCCACCACTTCAATTCAACTACTTGGATCTGTGCCCATTTAATATTCTACATCCTCTTATACTGATGAACTGTCCATTCCCCTACCTAAGGCCAGCCTCCCCCTCCATTGAAAATCATAGCTCTGCAATTCTCTCTTTTCTCCTGTGCATCAATTCTCTCTTCGCTCCTGTGCATCTCACTATTGGTTATTTCCATCAGCAGACAAAACATTCCATTCTTTTTTTAAAAGAAGATGCTCTTGATCCCACATCTTTTACCAGTGATTGCCCCAATCTCTCTCCTCCCTTTGCCTCCCAACTCCATGAAAGGGCTTTCGATACTCCCCATCTCTCACTTGCTTCTCTGATCCCTTGTGAACCCACTCCAATTAGGCTTTGGAGCCCACATCCCACTTAAACTACTCTTCACAAGGCCACCCACAGCCTCCACATTTAGTAAACCCAGTGGTCAATTCCCAGCCTTCATGCTCTTGCCGTTTAAAGCATCACGGATTACGTGGTCCCTCTTCCCTGAAAAATACTTATTTTCTAAAATAATTTTTAGTAGTTTTTTTTTTTGTTTGTTTGTTTTTAGTAGTTTTAAAAAAATATTTATTCATTTGGCTGCATGGAGTCCTAGTTGCCGGCACGTGGGATCTTTGTCGTGGTGCATGGGTTCTCTAGTTGGGGCTCACAGGCTCAACAGTTGACCTGGGCAGGCTTTTAGTTGCTCTGCGGCATGTGGGATCTTAGTTACCCGACCAGGGATCCAACAGGTATCTCCTGCGGTGAAAGCGCCAAGTCTTAAACTCTGGATGATCAGGGAATTCTAAAAGATACAAACTTTGAGCTATAAAATAAGTCAGTCATAGGACAGAATACAGAACATGGTGACTATAGTTAATGATACTGGATTGCTGAAAGATGCCAAGAGAATAGATCTTAAAAGTTAATCATCATGAGAAAGACAAATTTTGTTAAGCATATATTCTGACAGTGTTAATTAGACTTTGGGTGGTGATCAATTTGCAGTATTTACAAAAATCAAATCATGTTATACACCTGAAACTAATGTTACATACCAATTATTCTATGCTTAGTCACTCAGTCGTGTCTGACTCTTTGCGACACCATTGACTGCGTCATGCCAGGCTCCTCTGTGCTCCACTATCTCCTGGATACTTTGCTCTAATTCATGTCCATTGAGTCGCTGATGCCATCCAACCATCTCATCCTCAGTTGCCCCCTTCTCCCCCTGCCCTCAATCTTTCCCAGCATTAGGGTCTTTTCTAATGAGTCGGCTCTTCACATCAGGTGGCCAAAGTATTGAAGCTTCAGTATTCAGCATCAGTCCTTCCAATGAATATTCAGGACTGATTTCCTTTAGGATTGACTGGTTTGATCTCCTTGCAGTCCATGGGAATCTCAAGAGTCTTCTCCAACACCACAGTTCAAAAGCATCTTGTATTTATTTACTTATTTGCCCATACCAGGTCTTAGTTGCAGCATACAAAGTCTTATATTTACAGCATGCAAACTGTTAGTTAGGATATTAGTTCCCCGACCAGGGATTGAACTTGGGTCCCTTGCATTGGTAGCTTGGAGTCTTAGCCACTGGACCACCAGGGAAGTCCCAGGACACTTCTGTTTAGATGTCTCCCTATGAGACTACTATACATTCAACAGGCCTAATCATGAGGTCACTAACTTCCTCCTGAGCAAAATTTTGGCCCCCTTCATCTATCTTCCAGTTTTGTCTCCCTCTGTATCTGCCATACCAAATTTCTCTGAATATTTCTTTTAAATACTAAATCAGATTCCCTTTTAGTTTCACGTATACAGTTTCAACTCATCTACTCCTTCTTTCCCCAGCTCAATGATAACAGAAGATAAGGCAGAGGGAGGAAGTCTCAGCCTCCAAATCTATTTTTACAACTGATAGGGCAGTACAAATGATGTCAGAACATTAAAATGGAACTTCTTAAAGTCCACCAAAGGAAGAAAGAAGTAAGACTATCTGGGACATCTTGGAAACGTCACAGATTTATCTTCTTGTGGCCCAGTTTGATTCCGAAAGAAATCCAGAGATAGAAAATCCATAACTGGGTTTTTGCTTGCTTTATGGAATGACTTAGACAGAAACAGAAACTATGTTTTGACACCTGAAACTAACACAACATTGTAAATCAACTATACTCCAATTTAAAAAACCAACTATGTTTTAAACTTTTACATTTTTAATACCCATAGAAATTTCATGACACCTCATTTTACAAATGAAGAAACTAACATTCAAAAAGATTAAGCAGAGTGATGATTACACAGCTGGTTACTGGCAGATAGAACTTCAAATTCTGCTTTCTATCAAGCTCACTGTTTTACTCCATCCCAGTACATACATATTCATTCAAGGTATTGTTGCCATATTATATTTGCTCAACTTGAAACTGGTTTATAAACCGAAATTAGCATAAACAACCTATTTACTAAGTTTGGAAATTAGCTTAAGTCTGGGATAATATAGTGGTTTCATTTCCTTTCCTTATTTTTCAATTTAAGTTCAATGGGAGAGAGTAATTCATTTAGGAAGTACAAGTGGCGTTAGGCAGACTCACCATCTCCAGAGCAGAAGGGACTCTAGTTAACACTCACAAAGTGGAAAAGACCCAAGTAAATTTGCCAAAAGTAGGAATATGGAAATTGTGCCCACGGCCAGAACAATGGACACAGCTTTGTCAAAACAAAGAACAGTAAAGTGAGGGAAGGTGATTTGTCCAGCCCTTGTGCTACTTCATGGCTTTTTTTTTCCAGTTGCTGGTTTCCTATTCACTCTAACAAAGAAAAAGATTAAACACAGGATTTAACATTTCACAAGTTTTTATTACCCTTTAACAGAAGCAAAACACTGCACATAGTAAGCTGCAGCATTCAAAAATCCAAACTAGGGAAAACCATCAGATAACAACCTCCAATAGCAATGCTACCCAGTTCAGTCCTACAAAAGAAAGTCGTACAGACTCGATGCCCACCGTGTGTGTTCCGCGCAACCGGAAAGCTTTAACTCTGATACAGACTAGGGATCGAACCCGCGTCTTTTAGATTTTCTGCATTGGCAGGCAGGTTCTTTACCCCTGAGCCACCAGGGAAGCCCTAAACAGACTAAATTTAAATGTAATTATCCTGACGGTTATTACTGCTCAGAACTAACCAATATATTTCATACATGACAGAATAACATCTTGGCTTCTGTCTTGGCATCGGGGGAATTATGTCAATGTGGAGGGCTAGGAAACTACATCAGGTATCAGACAGGAGGTAAATTAGCCTTGAATTTAAAGTGCAAAGCTGAAACGACAGGCCCTGAAAATACAGCCACAAAATAATGCCCAGGGGCACTCTTGCATTGAACATTGTGTGGGGTGCAGATTTTTCTCCCTGGCTCTCTGCTCGGCTTTTGGGAGTTGAAAACTGTTTCTCAGATGCTAGGCTATAGGTGTCAAGGACCACCTAAGTCCTTTTAAAGACGTTTTGTGCACTTGCATTCATAATTTATGACACTTCCTTTCCCCCCCGGTAAGCCAAAAAAGCACTTACTGCCTCGGAGCTTCATCAGACTAGTCGGTGATCCAAAGAAGACATTAAGTGGGTTTTCACTCAGGCTCCAGGAAATCTCCTGCCCCGCCCGCCCCCCGCCAATCTCACCCACACGCCCAGTCACACACCCAATGCATCCACCGGAAAAAAGCTTTTTAAACGAACAGAACACAAACTCACAGACCCAACCCCCCAACTACTAGTTACTCGGGCACACGTTAAGGAGGTGCCAATTTTATACAGAGATTTTGTTTTAAACTCTTCGTAGAAACGACCACAGCTGTGCGCTCCCAGAGCGTTTTCGTTACAAAGCGTGTATGTGGTTTTTAAGACAGTTATTTTTATCTCTACTTCCTACCGTGTGAGGGGGCGGTGCGCTACGCAGGTAGTCAGCAACCTTCGTCACTCGGGTGACTGGGCTTTAAAAGGCTGCATTCACGGGCTTGGGGGTACATATTCAAGCCCCAGACCCCACGCGGCTGGTTAAACTCTAAAGGCCACGGAAAGTCACTTGGACGGTCCAATCTGACGGTTCTTTGAGGGACCTGGGCGTCTGTGTTGGAAAAGGGAAGTTGGGGTGGAAGGACACTTTGCACAGATCCTTGCCTGCTCAACAGACCAGCCTCGGCAGGCGTTCTGGACCACACGTGCACAGAGCAAGCAAAACAAAACCAACCCCAGCTCCGGGCGGAGAGGGAAGCGCCGCGCGATTAACCGAGGGGAGCGGTCACTGCGCTCCGCCGAGTCCCCGCCTGGGGTCCCGGCGCGTGCGGCTTCTCCAGCCCTGCGCACCCTCCTCAGCTCGCCAGCCCTGGATCCGCGTCCCGGGGGCTCCGCACCTGGGCTGCCGGAGAAGGCGACCCTCGGGGGGCGCTGCAGGGCCCGCTGGTTGGTGTTTCTCCCTCCCACCCCCGAAATCCTGTGTCACTTTCCGACTGGGCACTTTCCCAGTGGTCCGCCCTCGACAGGTCCAGTTCTCTCCCCGCATCAGTCTCCTCCAAGCGCTGTCTTCTCAATCCCCCATCCCCACGGCTCCCCTAGCATCACTTCCCCCCACCACCACCCCCGACCCAGGGCGGGGTGGGCGCGCAAACCCAGCTCCCCTGGCACTTACACGTGGCCACAGCGGGTCCGAACGGGGTGGTGCAACACCTCCAGGCACACGGAACAGTCGAAGGACGTGACGGGCAGCTCGGGGTCCCCCCGGCGCTCCAGGGCCCGTGGGGTAGCCGAGGCGGTCGCGGATTTCCCGCTATCGCTGCTCAGCACGGAGCCCATCCCTGCGCCTCCGGCCCCAGACGATCGCCAAGAGCTTGGTGCCTGCGGCCGGCTTGTTTTGTTGTCCTGCGGTGGAGGAAGGAAGTCCCGGCCCAACTGCGATCGCCGCCTCCCCGCGCGCCCAGCCCGCGCAGCCCGGGAGCAGCCTCGGTCGCGGCGCCCAGCCTGGCTCTACGGCAGGCCGAGTGTGCGGCCGCGGCCGGAGTGAACCTCCCTCCGCTCGCTGCCCTAGTCTAGGCTGGGAGGCGGCGGCGGCGGGGAGCACGGTGCACGCCAGGCGTCCCCGGGCCCTGGAGGATTGAAATCTGACACCTCAACTGCAGAGCCGGGGACCTGGGCTGGCGGTGAACCTCGCCGGCAATCGCACGACTCCTCCTTCCGAACCACTAGAGCGAGTGAATGAAAGTGCGGGCGTGGTCTTGCCTGAACGCAGTCGGAGAACACCCACTTGTAAGGTGATGGTCCTCTCTGTCTTGCAGTGTTCTGATTACTGATGTAGCCACAGAGACGATCTATGAGCGTCTCCTAAGAAAGTGCTAGTCACTACTTCCGTCATCTAATCAACACTCCATAAACGGAGAGGTAGCAAGCAGTAGTGGAAAGAGTTCTTGGAGCTGAATAGAATCCCAACTCTAGGACAGGGATTCCAGTGCTAAGTTCTAGGAGCGTCCCCCTCCCCCGTCCCAACCGCCCCACCCCCCAACCCCCGCTGCCCGCTCCCCGCCCAATTTCCTCACCTTAGGATCTCCTGCTGTTGTTTGTACTCCCCCCTCCATCCTCTTTTGAATATTTATGACCAAATATATCCGTTATTAATTCACGCATTTAATAAAACCTTAGTGCCCACTGCGTGACGGTCTCCGTCAACAAGCAAACAAAAATCCCAGTTCTCACAGAACTTACTTAAAAAGCATTTGGGGGGAAGATAATCATAGATTCAGGGCTTCCCAGGTGGCGCAGTTGGTAAAGAATCCTCCTGCCAATGTAGGAGAGGCAACAGATGCCGGGTTCCATCCCTGGGCCGGGAAGATCCCCTGGAATAGGAAATAGCAACCCACTCCAATATTCTTGCCTGGGAAAATCCCATGGACAGAGAAGCCAGGTGAGCTACAGCGCATGGGGTCTCAAAGAGTCGGACACAACTGAGCAGGCACGCAACAGCAACAATTATAGATTCATGTTCTTCTTATTAAAAGAGAATCCATTATAACACATAGTGTGCATATGCAATACACACATACAATAATAAACAATAATCCTATACACTTCACCCAGTTTTGCCCATATTTTACTTTTAATGAGATAATATAAGACATTTCTCCAAGGAAGACATACAGATGGCTAACAAACACATGAAAAGATGCTCAACATCACTCATTATCAGAGAAATGCAAATCAAAACCACAATGAGGTACCATTACACACCAGTCAGGATGGCTGCTATCCAAAAGTCTACAAGCAATAAATGCTGGAGAGGGTGTGGAGAAAAGGGAACCCTCTTACACTGTTAGTGGGAATGCAAATTAGTACAGCCACTATGGAAAACAGTGTGGAGATTTCTTAAAAAACTGGAAATAGAACTGCCATATGACCCAGCAATCCCACTTCTGGGCATACACACCGAGGAAACTAGATCTGAAAGAGACACATGCACCCCAATGTTCATCGCAGCACTGTTTATAATAGCCAGGACATGGAAGCAACCTAGATGCCCATCAGCAGACCAATGGATGAGGAAGCTGTGGTACATATACACCATGGAATATTACTCAGCCATTAAAAAGAATTCATTTGAATCAGTTCTAATGAGATGGATGAAACTGGAGCCCATTATACAGAGCGAAGTAAGCCAGAAAGATAAAGACCATTACAGTATACTAACACATATATATGGAATTTAGAAAGATGGTAATGATAACCCTATATGCAAAACAGAAAAAGAGACTCCGATGTATAGAACAGACTTGTGGACTCTGGGAGAAGGCGAGGGTGGGATGTTTCAAGAGAACAGCATCGAAACATGTATATTATCTAGGGTGAAACAGATCAGCAGCCCAGGTTGGGTGCATGAGACAAGTGCTCGGGCCTGGTGCACTGGGAAGACCCAGAGGGATCGGGTGGAGAGGGAGGTGGGAGGGGGAACCGGGATGGGGAATACATGTAAATCCATGGCTAATTCATTTCAATGTATGACAAAAACCACTGCAATGATGTAAAGTAATTAGCCTCCAACTAATAAAAATAAATGAAAAAAAATAAATAAATAAAAAAGAATCTCCAAGTAAAAAAAAAAAAGGAATCAACAAGTAAATAAATAAATGAACTTGTTCATTTCAGATAATAAGAGCCAAGAGGAAGATGGAACTGGGAATGAAGATTGGGGCAGTGAGCCTAAGAAGGTCAGGGAAGACTTTTTGTTTTTGGTGATATTTGAGTAGAGTCATGAATAATGAAAAGAAGCCAAACACTCCAAGATTTAGGGAGAAACTTGCTAAGCTCTGGGAATTGTGAACCAGGCCAGAACAACAATAACAACCAGCCCAGAAAGAAGGGTGTGGAGCTGGAGCGTGGGGCGCTAGGAGTGTAAATGTGATGAGATGAGATGGGAGACAGGTCTGATCATACTCAGTTTTTCAGTCCAGAACCGAGAATCTGGGTTTTATTCCAGGTGCTGTGTTTGATGTACTCTGACTGCTGTGTGGTTTGGAAAAGACAAAAACAAAATAAGAATGGAAGCAGAGAAACCAGTTAGGAGGCTACTGAATGAGTCCAAGTGAGGATAATAGTGGCAGAACCAGGGGCTTCTCTGGGTAGTAGGTGAGAGATGGACAGGTTTGGGATATATTTTGACAGAAACCTAAAGGGGCTTGCTGAGAAAATGGATACAGGAGTGAAGGAAAGATAACTATTGTTTTCTGTAAAAGAAAAAACCCTCCTTTGATTCCCACCTGTTCCTCAGCTCCTGTCCTATGTCTTGTTGACCGGATTCTCTGCTTTTTTATATCTTTGTTAGTTACCTCCTAATGCAGTCCAACCTGGGTTCTGAACTGACCACCATTCTACCTTCATCTGTCTGAAAACCATTTCATTATCAACGTCACCAGTGGGTGGCCTTTATGTGGCTCATTTTAGTCTCTTTCTTGCTTCACCTCTCAACCGTATTTGTCAGTGTTGACTTCTGCCTCCTTAGAGAAACATGTTTTGGCTTGCCTTCTCTCTTTCTGGCTGTTCTCTCTCAGTCTTCTTCTCTGGCCTCCTCTGCTCCATGGAAAACCTAAGTGCTGGAGATGGTAGGATTCTGTCTTGGGATCTTCCCCCTTCTGATCATTTATTCCCTACCAAAGAATCTCAAAAATCACATCCATTCTGCTACCATCTAGGTGGCAAAGTCTTTATCTTTACTCTAGGCACTCAAATGCCCAACTGCTTACACGATATAATCAGCCCATTGCTTCAGACAACTTCAGCTCAACGCCGACAGTAATGCACTCACCTCCAGCTGTTTATTCCCCTTAGTAAATGGCACCATAATCTACCTAATAGCTCAGTCCAGATACCTGGGAGCCACCTTTAATTGCTTCCTCTTCTTCATTCACATTGAATCAATCCCAATTATGATTCTGCTTCCAGTAAATCTCTCAATAGTTCTTGAATTGTTTCCTTTTTTCCTCTATTCCCATGGCCAGCCACCACTTACTTTAAATCATTGCATTCTCTTGTGTGACCTGATGCAGTAGTTGCTATATGCTCCGGGCTTCCCCGGTGGCTCAGATGGTAGAGAGTCTGCCTGTGATGCGAGAGACCTGGGTTCGATCCCTGGGTTGGGATCCCCTGGAGAAGTGGATCCACCTGCATCCCCTGTTGCCACTGTCCTATCTCTTATCCACATCGCAATTAAAATGACCTTCTGGAAAGCAAGATTCTTACGTCACTCCATGCTCAAAAGACTTAAATGGCTCTCCATAACCCTTAGGATTACCTTTCAAATCCTTAGCATGATCTTCAAAGCTCTCCATGATCTTACTCCTTCAATAACTATAATCAGTAGAATACCTCTGCAACAGGGAATAGAAATTCAACAGAAATTCAACCTTAATCAATAAAGATATTTATTATCTAATATGTAGATCAGTCCAGAGAGAAGCAGTTCCAGAGCTGGCTCAGCAGTTGAAAGACGTCCTCAAGGTCTCAGCCCTTTGCCATCCCCCACGTCAGTAGTGTCTTCCTCATGCTGAAAGATGGCAGGAAGTGCTCCAATAACTGCATCTACGCACCACAATCTCTAAAAACAGAAAGGAAAGATAGTTTCCTTCTTCTAGCTCCTTCTCCTTTTAAGTGGGAGGAAAACATTTCCTGGGGGCCTTCTGTAGACTTCCCCTTATATCTTATCGGTTCAAACTGGGCCCCATGACCATTCTTAAACCAGTCAGTAGCAGAGGACCAAAAGGGTATTCTAACTGGCTTAAACTCATAATATACTCCATAGGGCTTGGCACTTCACTTATTTGAGCAATACAATTAGGGTATCCTTATCAGGAAAGAAGATTAAGAAATTGGGTAGGCCCACAATAGGGCCTCCCAAAATAACCATTTTGGCTCCCATCTCCTTTCATTCTCTCCCTTATTCTGTATGGTCCTAAATTTCTCTGCTTCTTTCCGTTCCTTGACTGGGGTGGTCAGAAAGCTGTTTCTGATCTCAGGGACTTTATACATGACTTTTTTCTCTGTTTGAACACTTTCTACCAACACCCACCACTTTCAACTCCCTCTAATTCAAACCTCACGTCTTAGTTGGTGACTGTCATTCAATACTAATATCACAAGGTAGATAGTATTTGTTTCTATTTTATAGGCTCCAAGAATTTAACTTAGCAAAGAGTACATAGCAAATATGTGGCAGATCAATATTTTAATCTTAGATCTTTTATTTGTGCTTTTCACTAAGGCACTTATGTAGAGATGAGAAACACTGAGAATCTTAGAAAAGAATAAGACAAACA